GACAAATAGTGGCAAACAGCAGATGCCGTAATTTTATATTTTAAAGACCAGCAGACACTGGAACTTTATATTTTAAAAGACCGTATCTCCATGTTATGATTAGATGCAGATATAAACCATATTTGTTTCTCTTCCACAGATACTTATACACTTGACATCACTTAAAAGCAAAGGATAATGATAAGTTAGTGCCAAAATGATCCACACTACATAATGGAGCAGCTTACACTGAGACAGAGGACCTGAGATTTTCACTTGTTACATAACAAGCTGTAAATATTTAGCACACATACCATGTCCATTTGTTGGCAACCACTGGACAAGGCAGACTAGGAGAAGTTGGCTCCCAGAGCTGAAGTCTAAACCAAACATTCCAGATCTACATAACTGTCCTCTAAGCTATGGTAGAAGTAAAAATGTATGAAGAGCATATCAATTCCGAATATCTACATACCAGACTTCAGAAATCAATAAGATAAAATGAAGTAAGTTAATAGAGAGAAACCAAAAAGACAATGAGTGTCCTCTACTTGAGATCAGTAAGACAGAAAGGAGCAACTGCGCATGATGTCCTATACAAGCATGATAAGGACAGAATCTTATGATTTATGCTTTCCAGGACAGAATCTTTTGTGATTTATGGATTAAGCTGTTCTTGAATTGCTACAAATAAATATTTGAGACTGAATAATTTATGAAGAAAATAGGTTTAATTGGCTCATAGTTCTACAGGCCATATAGGAAACATAGCAGCATCTGCTTCTGAAGAGGCCTGAGGAAGCTTGCCATCATTGCTGGAAGAAAAGCAGGAGAGTAGGCATCTCATATGGTGAGAACAGGAGTGAAAGAGAGTTGGGGTAGGGGAGGTGCCACAGGCTTTTTTTTTTTCTTTCTTTTTCTTTTTTTGAGACAGAATCTCACTCTGTTACCCAGGCTGGAGTACAGTGGCACAATCTCGGCTCACTACAACCTCTGCCTCCTGCATTCAAGCAATTTTTGTGCCTCAGCCTCCCAGTAGCTAGAATTACATAAGCCACCACACCCAACTAATATTTTGTATTTTTAGCAGAGACAGGGTTTCATCATGTTGCCAGGATGGTCCTGATCTCCTGACCTCGTGAACTGCCAGCCTCGCCTTCCAGAGATGAGCCACTACACCTGGCCACCACAAACTTCTAAATAACCAGATCTCACAAGAGAACTCACTATCAGGAAGACAGCATGAACCAATGAGGGATCTGCCCTTAGGATCCAAACACGTCCCACCAGACCCTACCTCCAGCCTTAGGGATTAGACTCAATACATGATTTGGGTAGGAACCAATATCCAAACTATATCAGTATAAGATAAAAAATTGTAGCTTTTCTTTCATTTGATAGTGTCTCTCATTTCAAATTTCTATTTTAAGAATGTTTTATGATAAATATTACATCCAAGTTTCTATATGTAATTTATAAAGAAATATGTATATATGGAAGTTACTAAAAATTTTTATACTGATAAGAATGTGATTAAAAAAGACGTTGCTGATATTTCTGGTTCTATTTTTATTTGGTAAGTTGTATATATTAATGTTTGCACTTGACACATGTAGATTAATTACATTTTGATTACAGTGAGGGAAAGTCTTTTCAGTAATTTGGGCTAGAAATTTTCCAAATAAGATAAAGATCAAATCAGATGTAAGAGCTATTCTGCATGAAATTGCCAAGTAATTGACAAGGGGAATTTGTCTGACTCAGCTGGCTTGTCAGGTCTACTCTTCTCTCTCTGGCTAGCTACACAGAACTATATATATTAAGAATTAGCACAATAAATGCAATATTTGTGAACTGGCCTATGATCTCTTACCTCTGGCCTAGAATTATGTTTTTAGTGGGTTGAGAGCAGAGTTGAGCCCACAGGTGACAATCTTGCAAGAGAGTAGGCCACAGACTAGAGGTAAATCTCATTCCTTGATAAGGTAGGGTCAGAAACTAAGTTGGCCACAAAAATACTAATCAGAAAATATTTATATCTGTGGTTGCAGAAGTTACAGGAAATTTGTCCACACATGTACTCTGATTAGATAAAAATGCATTCTAAATTGGCAACCGGGATAGTTATGTGTGAAGAATAGCTTCTTCCTGAGATCGTTTGGGTTCAGCAACCTCCATGTGTGGAACATTAATCTTTCGCTATGAGACCATCTCTGCTTAACAGAAATCTATACGATATAAAAATATATCCTTAAAACTCAACAAGATTTAGCATTCGAAGTCTGTGTCTTTCACCTTTGCTTTTGACCCACCTATTCATTGCAAATAACTTACAAGATCACAATTGTACATTTCTCTGAAATTACCTTTTGAAAGAAGAACTCAGTGTGCAACTGGGTGAGAGGCCATATGACGATTAAGAGGGAGCCTAGAAAGAGGGCTGGAGAAATGTCCTCCCCTATCAGCAGGAACAGTTCAAACAACCCCAGGAGGTGGCCTCATGTGTTAGTCAAGAAGCCAGGGAGTTCTATAAAAGAAAGAAAACTCAGAAAGCTGCACCGTGGGCTGGCAGAAGATGCTGGTTGCTTATTTGGGACCAGGGGTAGTCCATCTCCATCAATCAATCAGTCTGGAGAACATCTTCCCTTCCAAAAATCACATTTCAAAAAATAATTGGCCATATCATTGGCTGAATATATTTACTGTGCTTAAATTATCTGGAACTGAGAAATGGTAGCCAAAGGTTGCTGTTTAGAGTCATTTTTTTATAGAAAAAAAAATATTTGTTTGAAGGTTAACTAAAAGAAAAGGAAAGAAGGAAATAAAAAGAAAAATATTTCAGAATCAAATAAATTAATTTCAGCTTACTATGGAAAATCTAATTCCTTCCAGGAATATTATTCTCCAGTAACATGAGGAAGAGTTAATTATAAATAATTTGGGTGTTTTCATGAAGTGTAGTCTATCTAACAGTCTTCTGAGTAATGTCTAAAATTCCTGGAAACACTGTCAAATACTATGTATCACACATGTTAACAAGATCTTACTTCTTCATGTGTATATGAGTCAGGATGGTTAGGCAGTCCCTTATAGGATTTTAAGTTTTAAAAATGAAATAAAAAGCAACTCAGAACAACACTGAAAAGGCTTTCTCTGGTTGACCAGCGGGTATCACAAAAAAAAAAACAACCAATTTTTTTTTAATTTTTAACCTCCCACAACAACCCTGTCCACTACTCCTAAATCTTCCTTCTAAGCAGATGTTCTAGACCGTGATCTTGCCTGTAACTCCATCTTCCTCAGGCAGGATCCCTGTCTAAGGTAAGGACGACAGCCTTACCTGTCTGCACAACCATGCACTTCTCAAAGATAAAGATACTCTTATCTATTTGATAGCTGAATTATAAATCCTATTTGCCATCATCAAGTGGTCACTGTCAATTTACCAGTAGAGCTCAATGTTTCTCTAACAACTATCTGGCGAGGGAAAAGTTTAGTGTTCTGATCTCGAGAGCATAGTCAGAAAGAGCAAATATTAAACTCAGTTTTATATATATATATAAGTTTGAACACTGCATTTCGATGTTTAATTTGATTCCATTCCTGCTATTCAGACTTAGGAACTTTATTTTTTTCAGATTCCACCATTTTCTTATTGTTAGGAAGCACTTTGGACAAGTTTGGGCAGAGGAAAGGATCAGGCTTTCGGTCTCTTTGGTCCTTCTCTCTTCATGTTCTCAGACTGGAAATGTGACCTTGACATTCCTCACTGTTCAGGAAGTCCAGATCTCCTACAGACATGAGTTTTGCTCCTATTAGCTCTGTTTCTAGAAAGTACATCAATACTTTGTTCCAAGCCAGACACTCTCCATATTATACTAACAGCATTCATTTAGACTTAAACACAAATCTAACCAAGAATTTTGCATAGCATCATCTTGAAATAACAGTTTGTCATCTAACTAGGCATGTTTATGATTAGAGAGCCCAGTTGTACATAGCATTAGAAGATAAGGAGTGTAGAGAGGGGACTATAGATTTAGGTGTGTTGTTTCATTCAAAATTCTTGATACATTGTTAATGATTTAAATGTGCTTCACCTGAGTGGAATGACATTAAGGATACTACCATCACCAACTATAAATAACCAAATGGTGATGATTTATCTGCTACTGCTAATCTTTTATTTCATCTATCATTTATTTTGAAGGTTTTAAAAAATAAAGTAACAAATATTCTTGCATAAGGCTCACAATGACATCACAAAAAAAATTTGCAAGGAAATATTTACTATACTTCAGTATAATATTTGTATTGATGAATACCCACTTTGAGTCCAGAATATCTGTTCTCATATCCTAACCTCACTGGTTAGATGAAATTTCAGACTACAGCTTTGTCAGGCTTCACAGTCGCAATAGAAGTATTCGTATTTAAAATTCAAGAACTTTCTGGCAACCAATATGAACAGATTGCTAATTTTTTTACCCCCAAGGAATTTGCATCATTCATATGTTATGGTAGAAAGTATGGTTTTCAGTCATCTATTTTCTGTTCTCATTTGCTAGTGTTAATAGATACAATGTTATTTGTTTATTTTGTGAGTTTATTTCCAACAAGTAACAGCTTTCTCACATTTCTACATTAAATATGAACAGCAGAACATACAGTCATATTTCATACTATGATAGTGGACTTTAATAATCCTCTGCTTTATTTGATCAACACACTCTGGCACATGTATCTGCCCTGAATAATGTGCTATAACCAACAGAAAAAGATCTGATCCCCAAATCCACTTCACTGGGTGATGAATAGAGTTTCCTCTTCTCCAATACTGTTTTTTTTTTTGCATTTTAATGTTGATTATATCAATTTATTACTAATTTTGGTCTTCCCATTAGTTTCATGTATAAAACCAATCAGTTTCTCAGTAGTAGGTTCAATAGCTTTTAAAGAGAATGTAGGCAGAATAATTCAGATAGAAACCATAAATAACGAGAAGCCAAAATGAAGCAAAATTGTCTCAAATGATGTTTATCCCAATTTATATCAATATTCTTCCATCAATTTTTAGACTGTAAAGTAAAATCTTAATCTAAGCATTTTATGAATCATTATAAAAGATTCCAACCTATAAAAATTATGAAAGGTTTAAAGACCTCATTAATAGAATTAGAAATGTTTGCTATTATCCTACTGGTCAACTTTGGTCTGTATTTTCTGGACCTCTTCAGGCCAAGAATAACAATCAGGTAGAATCTGGTCATAATCAGTACTATACATCTGGGAGCGGATAAATGCTTCTTTGTTTTGCAGTTCAGGATAAACTGTGGCTGTCTTTTCTTGGTATGCATCTTTCACAATCTTTTCTGAAATTTTCAGAGAAACATCTCTAATGGTATTCAAAGGAGGATAAAGCTAACCCTCTTCCAAGTGTTTATCTGACACTTGCTGAGCTATAACCTCAGCAGTAGTGAGGAAAACATTATCTGTGATGTGCTTCAATCCACACGCCACAACACCAAGAGCAACTCCAGGGAACACATAGGAATTGTTGCCTTGCCCAGGATATAGGGTCTGTCCATTTGGTAGACTGACTGGATCAAAAGGACTGCCACTGGCAAAAATTGCACGTCCCTTGGTTATTTTATAGCACTGCTCTGCAGAACATTCTGCTTTGCTAGTTGGATTACTCAAAGCAAAAATAATAGGCCGTTCATTGAAGGCAGCCATATCTTTGAGAATTTGTTCTGAGAATGCACCACCAATTGCAGCAACTCCTATGAGGGCAGTTGGTTTTATTTCTTGAACAATGGTTTCTAGATTCTTCATTTCTTCATGTTCATGGGCAAATTTCTCTTTCTCTTGTGTTAAGGAAGCACGTCCCTTAACTATTAATCCTTTTGAATCAACCAACCATATCTTTTTGATGGGTTTCTCTTTTGGTAAACCTTCTTTTTCCATTGCCATCACAATCAGGTGTGCAATCCCTAAGGCAGCCTCTCCAGCTCCTTGGAATAGTATTGTTTGATCAGACAGTTTGTTCTTGGTTATTCCAAGAGCTGCAAGGAGACCTGCTACTGCAACAGACGCTGTTTCTTGAATATCATCATTGAATGTGCAATAGTGGTTTCGATACTTGTTCGGGAGACGAAGTGCATTCACGTTGGCAAAATCTTCAAACTGAGTAAGGCAATTCATGCCATACTTGGAAGAAACTGCCTCCATGAATTCATCCAAAAAAATCATCATATTCAGAACCTCTTACTCTTCTCTGCCGTAGTCCAACGTAGAGTGGATCTTTAAGTAACTCCTCATTTTCAGTTCCCACATCCAGAATGACAGGCAGACATTCTTGAGGATTCATCCCTCCACAAGCTGTATATAGAGCCAATTTACCCACAGGGATGCCCATTCCATTACAGCCAAGATCTCCCAAGCCAAGAATACACTCTCCATCGGTCATCACAATGGCCTTGATGACATCTTCTGGCCATGCATTGAGAACTGAAGCAATATGCCCACAATCATGGATACTAATAAAGAGACCTCTTGGCTTTCGAAACACTAAACTATATCGTTGGCAAGCCAGACCCACAGTGGGAGTATAAACAATAGGCATGAATTTCTCAATGTCAGATGTTAGCACTCGATAAAAGAGTTTTTCATTTCTACCTTGGAGATCCATTAAGAGAAGATACCTGTCAAAGTCAGACTTCAGACGCTCAAAATTTATTAGTACTCTAAGGACCTGAATCTCCTGACTGATGAAGGAAGGTGGCAACAATCCATGAATGTTCAATTGCTGTCTCTCTTCCAGGGTAAAGGCCAAGTCAGAATCAAGAAGCTCAGCAAAGCCCAAGAAGATAAACCCAAAACCTCCAAGCCCAGAAACTTTATATGTAAAATTCTTGTTGAGGTGAGGGTTCCGCGTCAGCAGGTAGCCGCGCTGGTGGGTGTGGCGGCGACGGGGGACTTCAGGCTCCATGGCTGGCGCCGGGTTCGGCAGCGGGGTCAGGCCGGGGCTGGCAGCACGCGTGGTGCAGGCGGTCTCCAACACTGTTTTAATCTGACACCTCGGAACTTCATTAACTTTTTCCAAAGTCATATCATTTTTTTCTTACTTTCTGGAAGGTGGTTAGTAGGGTTGTAAAATTACTATTGCTCCAAGTCCCCGTATTTTGTTACTCACCAATAATTTGTTTTCAGGCAATCCACTTACTTAGTCTCTCTGAGCCCAAATCCTTCACACTTGGACTCTGTATGATGATATCTACTGTATGAATTGATTGTGAAGTCCAAAAAGAAAACACATGAAGGTAATTTGTAAAATGCTAACATATATAAGCAAATCAAGTAGGTAAAAAATATTGTATGAGCATGTCTCCTATCTAGAGAAATCTTTAAGATTTCATCTTGGGATACATCAGAAACTGGGAGAATATCCCTTGCCTATGGCCAGCAAATTAAAGCAGAGAACATTGGAACTCATGCATTCTGGTCATAAGAAACTGTGCACAAACCTGGGGTGGCTAAAGAGCATGAAAAATGGACTGCAAAGTCAATCTGTATGAATCAAAATAGAAAGCAAAGTGGACATATGAAAAAGTGATAATTCATATAGGAAATCACAAAATGTGTTGAGGAAAAAAAAGCCAAAATTTAAAAAAATTGTGAAATGGAAACTGGGAAAAATTAATTTCCAGAACAGACAGCTGTAAAATTGCTAGAACTGTGGTCTGCAATATAGAACAACAGATTGTTTAAATTCCTGGGCTTCTGCTTTGAAAGCTGGTGGTGCTTGCTACCTAACCCAAAGATCCACTATGGCCTTGAGATGGCATTCATAAGCAGCTTTTTATAAAGCATGTCCAACGCTGACCCTCTGAGCTGGAACAATCGGTCATGCTCTGTACCACATGGTGGACTTTGCATATTGAGTTCTGGCATGTGTTCTCCTTTCCTCCCTGCTCCACTCTTTCCTCACTCCTGCTCCCTGGGACTGCATGCCCAAAAAAGTAGCAGCATATTTGAAAAATGTACCATATGATTGCACTGGAGAACTTTACCTAAGAGAGTGAATATGAGGGAAAGGATATGATTCTTCCGGGACAAGGGATGGGCTAAGCCAGCCTGCCAATATTGAGAAGGTAAGGTGTAAGTTAGTAGGCTGCCAGGAGAGTGTTGAATAGTATAAAATATCTGTTTCTTGCCCCTACATATTCTCCCATCTCATTGATTGAAATAAGACATTTGATGAAAGTTTATTGCAAATTTATCCTTCCAACTATACCCAAGTAGTACTAGCATCAGCGATTCTTCTGAAAAAGTGCTGCAGATTTTTATTACAATCTACATTTGGCAGGATGAGTTTGGGAGCACATCTAGAAATGGTAGTTTGAGAAAATGTCAAATCTATTATCTCTTCCAGTTCTGTAATCTAAAAGTAGTATATTAAATATCTGAGTAACTTGAAAACCTATTAGCATGAAGGAGAGAAATTAGCTTATTAGCTCTAAAATTGGAGCAAAGCTTAGTATGGAAAACTCTTGCTATAAGATAGCAGGATTTTTTTTATCTCTTGAGTGCTGAAGTTGTCATTACTAGAGACTTGTTTGCCCATTTTTAAAGGGGCAAATTTCCACAATAATTAAGTGATAAGGAATAACCATTATGAAGTGGTTACTTCAAATAGAACCAAAATTGCCTGAATGGAATGGGGTTGTCTCTAATTATTTAATTGTTACGCCTTTTCTTTTTAAAATTTTCCCTCTCATTATCAAGAAAACTTTATGGACAAGCTTAAACCTAAAAGTGTTTTAGCTTTAAACCTGTTGGATTTATCTATGCCCCATCAACAAATTCTAAGCTACCCACACACGAAGAGGAGAATCAGGGCATAAATTGTCACATATCCCATCTTCCAAGGCGCTTATGAATGTTGAACATTTCTGTTATTCTACTCTAAAAGTGAGACCAGATGTCCCTGAAGAGTTCTGGCCAACAATTTTTAGTGGGATAAAAAGCTTTACACACATCCTTATTGCTTTTTTGCTTGTCAAGCAAGAAGTATTGAAAATACAGGGTGGGTGAAAAAGTGAGTGCACATATCTTTTGTGCAGTTACCAGTTCTCTCTCCCTCATTTTCCTTAAGACAGAAGATGATCAGCAACCCGCTTACCCTCAACCACTTTCTTAGGTCTGGTAAAAACAGCTGTTGGGATGACACGTAACAACATTTCCTTTCTGCTCATTTCACATTTTATTCTGTCTCCATTTGTTAATTTAATCACATTACTGAGTCATCGGCACAGATTCTTTCACAGTTCTCATTATCTGTCCATGGTCCTAATAACATATGGCAATATTTTTCTAATTATACTTCTTGAAAAATATCAAAAGCTGTAATCCTCATATGGTCATTATGTGCAATGCAGCCTATCCAAACATTTTTTTCTAACATGTAAAAACACTTGCAATATAGGTATAGGCTTAATATGCAGTGTGTCTCCACAGACACATGAGTAACCCTACCTGATAATGTACTGTGATTCTCTCTGCATTACTCATCTTCACCTGTTTTAAAGTGTTTATTTTGCCTATCTTGGTTTTCAATTATGTTGAGATCTTGTTCTGTTGAATAAAGTAAGATTTGATTATATTCAGATATAGTATAATTTCTACTATTTTATGGTATATCTTGTACTGACGTAATTGAGAAACTTTATCATCTGTGCCAAAAGAGTAAATTCTGCAAATATACTTCATTTTCCCTGCTTACTCTAATGTGTTTTAAATACTTCTTTGGAGATTTTACTTTATCTCTTCTTTTTTATTCACACTCAGCTCTAGTTTTGTTGCATTTACTCAAGCATGTCAAACATTTCTTTGTATTAAAATAAATGATATAAAGTAGGAAGTCAGGGAGCCCCCCATAAGTATCATAATCACCCATGAACAATAGTCTCAATATAGCTGGTAGGATCCTTCCACATATCTGATAAGCATCAGAAGGTATTACTTTAGTTCAACATAAACTACAGCTGACCTTTGAACAACGTGGGTTTGAACTGCACAGGTCCACTAATACGTGATGAAAGTCATGTTGAGTATGCTTGCCTCTCCTGCTTCTCTTTCTACCTTCTTCATCTCTGCCACCCCTGAGATAGCAAAACCAACCCCTCTTCTTCCTCCTCCTCACCCTACTTAATGTGAAGATGATGAGGATGAAAACCTGTATGAAGATCCCACCTCCACTTAATGAATAATAAATATATTTTCTCCTTCTTATGGTTTTCTTAATAACAATTTCTTTTTTATAGCTTACTTAATTGTAAGACTATAATATATGATATAATACAAAAAAATATATGTTTGACAACAGTTTATACTGTCAGTAAGGTTTCTGGTCAATAGCAGCTTATTAGTAGTAAAGCTTTTAGGGAGTCAAAAGTTATACACAGACTTTATGCACAAGTTTGGCACTTCGAACCCCTGCATTGTTCAAGGGTCAACCATAATTGGACACCAGAAATTGAGTATGAAGGATTTATCCTTTTATGTTTTTCAAGCCTTCTTAGTAACTGGGCATATGGATCAAATAATTTGTGTGTATATATATACATATATTTACATTTAGCTTTGTTAATCACTCTCTTGGCTTTATTTCAGCAGAGGTCAGACATAGCTCAATAGCATAAAAGATCATTCTTTCTGACTTTGTAATAAAATCTCTATCCCAAAGTTATTCATAAAGCAAGAAACTAAAATTTTTTAAAATAAATAGAAATAAAGGAGATTAAGTGTAAGGATATCAATTGCGAAGAGAAAGTGTATAAATGGATCATTGATAAGTGTCAAGATGAGAAAGAACATCCAGAAAGTACTTGGAGGACACAGAAAACACACACACACACACACACACACACACACACACACACTTTAAACCACTGCAGATACAATTCCTTAAAGAGGCTACCGGACCCCATTCATATACTGCACCAGTGAGGTCAATGAACAGAAAACACATATTAAGGGAGTTTTTTCTGTAAAGATTGACACATGTATTTTCATGGTGTAATAAATTCATTTTCAGTTACACTAAAGAAAGTGCCATTCTCTGCTTTCAGTTCCTTACTTTACAAACTGTATCCTACTCTAAAAAAGTTATACAAACTTTATGGCCTTTAGTTTTTTCCTCTATTAAACAAGTTTAGGGCTAAATACTTTATAGCTAAGATTCTTTTTAGGCTTTTTTTAAGTAAAGTTTTTATTTCAATACAATTTTGACTTATGGAAAAATTGTCAAGATAGTACAGATAAATCTTATATAACCCACACCCTGTTTCCCCTATTATTAACATCTTACATTAAGTTGGTACATTTGTTACAATTAATGAACCAAAACTGATACATTATGATTAGCTGAAGTCTGTACTTTATTCAGATTTCCTAACTGTATGCTTAATATCTTTGTTTGTTCCCAGATCGCATCCAAGATAGCACATTGCTTTGGTTGTCATGTCTCCTTAGACTCCTCTTGGCTCTGAGTTTCTCAAACTTTCACTGGTTTTCATGACCTTGTTAGTTTTGAGGAGTAGTGCTCATTTTGTGGAACAATTCTCAATTCATACTTCTATCATTAAAAGATAATTATTTATAGGCTATCTTTGTAAAATAATGCTTGGCACATAGCAAGTAATTAGTAGCACTTGAATGAATGAAAACCTAGATATTCCATTTACTTGTAGGAAATAGATTAATAATAGGCATGAAGTATTTCTTTGGTCTGGATGTCAATACCACATTGACACTATATTAATCCAGTGTTACAAAAACAAAACTGAGATAATTGGTTATTTCATTTTTTTCTTTTTGAGTCAAATGAGCAATATTTCTGAAAGAGACTTTGATTTTTAAAGAGAAAACCTATCATTGGGAAGTATTTCATGGTGGTAGAAATGGAAATGTAGGAAAATAAAGGATATTTTTAAAAATACTGAGTAATTCCCAAATCATTAAA